CGTCAAAATTGTAAAGACATGACTTCGAAATCAACTTGCCCAGTTATAGTTACTTCATACTCCTATTACCAGGGAATTGTATAAAAATTTTAGTTCTGTAATATGTACATGCATATGTGTGTATGTTTATTGTATAATATATAGTCAGTATGAAAGGTAATTTCGCTAATTTCTGACAATTATCGGCGAAATGTCGGTACACACCAAACAATACAATTGCAATATGAGTCGCCGCTCAAATTACTGATATATATATATATATATATTGTCATTTGATTTGTTTGCAAGTACACACATAAATATTTGTAGATTATCCATTTAAATAACTATCTACTATTTATTCGTTACAACAATGACATTGACAATGGCGAATCGCATACTTTTTATTTTCAAATTCAATTGAAATGGTTCGAATTATTACGACTTATAGTACATTACAACTGTTGCATATCATACGTGTTATTATTAGGGTGTTCAATACTTCACAGTTTCTCGATTTTATATAAACTTATATACTGCGAAGCTTCTATTATGGTCGCCAAAATGTGACGATATGTGATTGTATATGGGTATATATATATATAAAATATATGTACTTATGGTTGATCAGCTTTTAATTTTTACACGGAAATTACGAACGCAATCACTAAACTGCTAAAGTCTAATAAAATTTCTGATCAGTTATAATTGTTAAATACTAGTAAGATCATTACTCATACTTAGTAGTAAGATATAAAAAGTGTAAATAATTAGCAGAAAAATTTGTAAACAAGTTTAAAGTGAAAGTTATGGAATGGTTCATTTATAAAGACGGGCTCTTATTTCTTCAAATCAAAAAAAAAAAAAAAAAAAAAAAAAAAAAAAAATTGTCAAAGCACTTTATTTTGAAGTAGGTAAATTGATAAGTGAATAATCTATGTATCTCAATAAAAGCCTCTCAATGTTTCCTCGCCTAGAGACTTCACCACGTACTCCTCATAAGTAACAGGCATTCACAAAGTAGGTTTCAGGTTCCTCTTCTTCTCTGATATTTCTGCAGAAGTCGTTAGATTGTACTTTCAACCTCTCGGCCATTTTATTTTTCGGTATGTCCAGGCACCCAAACTATATTCAAAGAGAATTGTACCTTTGAGTAAATACCGCCAACGACTCCTTGGTAGCCTTGCCGCGACTCAAACAGCTTTTGCAGTCCCATAATATAAATTGGGAGTAGATCCAAGAGGACATTCATATCCTCAGGCATGAGTCATCCACAAGTTGCAGTCGAGGTAATACGCAGCTCCGCTCCCCAGAGAACTGGTGTTGAAAACTTTGGTATTTTATATCTCCTGGTGAAGTGAACAAATACGGTTTTATGTGAGTAAATGCCTAATCCAGCCCACTTTTCTACCCGCCTTAAATCTCTCAATGTGTAACGTCTTCGCTAGCCTACGCTTCATATAGGCGTGGTGATTTTTCGAGAGAATGTCATTTACAAATATAGGCGTGTAGTTTGGACTCACAACACATTTCAATATAAAATATTATGCAGCCATCTGACGCTGCTATCCACGGACTGCTGTAGTTGGCTATGAGCAATTTAGTCAGGCCTTTAGTAATTGTACTAACTGCTTTTTGTTAAGGGATATGTTAGTGTAGGCTCTGATTCACTCCATTTTACAATAGTTTCTATAGATTTCTTGTTGATGCATCAGGGAAATGGGTATTTATGAGAGAGAAGCTCATAATTTACAAAAAAATATTGTCAAAGAATAAGAGAGTCTTAAAGTTTTGTAGTTATTAATTAAATTATTCAGAAAATATATAAACTAGAGAATATAGAAATCGTTTTCAAAGTACAAACATACATATTTACGTACTTAAAAAAAAAATATTGCAAAAGCATTTGATTTTTATACATCTTTTTGAAGATGCCATGATGAGTAGAATAAAATAAAGTTTAAGTATTAAAGCAAACACCTAAATATCTTATCTTATGCGTGTGTAATTGTCAAAGTTGAGAAGCAGTAAAAGAAAGAAAATATGTATGGGAATATGTGCAAGTGCATTGACATATAAACAAAATATCTTATGGCAAACCATATTTTTAGTACTCTCAAAAGGATAGATCTTCGGCTTCTGACAAAAAAATTTTGTACGATAATATTTTTCATATTTTATGTGGAGTGTTCTTCACCACTCAAGAGAGTCTAATAATATTATAAAGCCCGAGAATTCTTAATAAGTAAATAAATTTTTAATAGTTTGGCCAGCCATCTGTTATACCCCCCATCTATACCTACCGACGGTAAAAGGAAAACTTGTCATTGACAATTTTATGTTTATACAGATTATATATTCGAATCTGAACTACAATCTGTAAACTTTATTGGCATCTATTAGAGCTCTAGATACCCTGGTATCGACCCTGTGAGCAGCTCGATACTCGTTAGATACTCAATACTCGCTCGTCGCCTTGCGAGCAATGATCAATGGACGAGTGTGCGAGTACTGTTGCTCAAATGCGCGAGCAGCTCGAAAATGTTCGAACAAAATTTTAAGGGGCACACCTAGGTAATGACCTAAAAAACGGTTATTTTTGGGAATTTTTATTAAAAAAAATACTTTATCCATTAATTCAAAATTTTTAGAATATACTTATACCTGTTTCAAGAATACACAGCGAAGTTTTTGGAAAAAAAATTAAATATTTTTTATAGTCGATCTGCAACGGCGCGAATAAGGTCCTTCACTGCTGCAGTAATTCCGGCCTTATCCGTGGATGAAATCAAAAAAAAATTCTCGTTAAGATAATATTATCTGTACAATGACCTACGTTAAAAAATCGATAGGTCATTGTACGGAGAACTATATATAGAACATGTAAAAAAAAATCGATAGTGATCGAATCATTTGTTTTCGAGTAATCACTGCAGCAAATTTGGAATATGCTGTTTCGAGAAAAATGCGTTTAAAGATAAATGATCGTTTTCACTCGTAGCTAATGAGACTCTCTAGCTGCCGAGCGGCTGCTCTTGAATTTGCTATAACTCAAAAACTATTTGAGATATCGATTTGAAATTTTAAAATGTTAATATGAAAAAAAATATCAATTTTTTTGAAATTTCACACTAGATAAGCTTTAAAGCTCGATAACTTTTTGCGGTTTTGAAGGTAAAGTCATTATGCCTCTCTCACGGAAACCCTCGTCTCTACGCGAAAATTGGGACAATCGATTTTCACAAGCTTCCCTTGAGGCCAATCAACCAACTAAATCATTCCCCACATACAGGAACAGGTGGTAATTACATGGTGCAAGATCCGCTCTTTAAGGTGGATGCATAAGAAACACTCAAACAAATCTTTGAACATCTGGCGAGTAACAATTAATGTGTAGTATAGCGTTGTCCTGATGATACACAATTTTCTTCCACTAAACACACAACAACCGCTTCATGGCCGTCAATTCCGGCTTGGAGGACGTTTGTACAACCGTTTTCGTTTGATGTTTGCTGTAAGTGATCCACTTTTCAACATCAACCATCATCCGCTTTATGAACGTGCCGACTTTGATACGATTCAGCAGTGATTCACAGTTGAAATCTCGGTTCAGTAGGTGTTACTTTGTGTAATCAACCTTTTTCAAGTGGTTCTAATATTTTTTTAGTGCAATATTTAAATCCTTGGCAATCGATTTTTATTACTTTCCGGACATTTTCAAAATTGTACATGATTTGCTGTTATAGTGTCAGGACCATATATATTTAATATAAATACACTCTTCCAATATTTGGTGTGCATCTCGATGCTTCTCCGCCGAATAGGAGGACCTAACATTTTTTTCCAAACCCACCTCCAAACGGCTGTTGGATTTTCTTGAGGAGGTTTATATAATTTTTGTTAGTAATAAATCGAAGGGGTTGATATTGACTCATTACGCTCGGCATGGCAGCGTAAATATTAGATCTCAAGATACCTGATATTGCTTCTTTACTAATTTAGTCAGTGATTTCTTCAAAGAGTTTTTGAATATTTCATATATTTTTTTTGAAAATTAAGAAAGATTGCTGAGCAAAAAGTCAAAAAGCTCAAGATGGGCTTGTTTAAAATACTCAAAAGGGCTTGAGTTGATCGATGTTGAAAGCTAGTTGAAATTTTTCTAAACAAATTTTAAAATAATTTATAAGCTTCTTTAGTGTTTGTATTAAGTGAAACTTTTGTTTTCTCAAAAGTCGCAAGTTTTCTGAGAAAAATTAAAAACAAAAAGTATAACGTGTTACGCTATTTACACACAGAGGCACAGACATAATTTCCGAATACTGCCGCTGAGATAAAATCATAGTATGACAGAGAATAAACTATCCTACTATGTATACGGATATATGTACATAACTATAAATTGCAATAAAATGTAAAGAAGGTAATGAAAATATTACTCATACTTCTAGTTGTGATATATGTACCTTTGTATCTATAAATTTACATACAAAGATGTTTAAATGTTTTGTCGTTTGATGCTTCATTGCATCTGCAGTAAGCTCGCACATACATATTTACGACTATCTAACATACATACACATCATATAGTTTCTAATAAAGTCAGTCAAGTGTGTTTGAGTAGCATTTGCCTGGCGGATAGTAAGATGAATAACTAAATATGTACATACATACAGATATGAATATGTAGCTGCGGGTTTGTAAACTGTCTATCCGTTTATTATGGACACGTTCAAGTTCAAGGCTACACCATAATGGAAAGGAAAGGAAATTCCATTTGAAAATGGTTGTATAAAACCAATTACGATTTCATTACGAAACCAAATATCTGACGTATATTAGTGATTGGTAGATATGTATGTATGTGTATGTGAACAGCAAACTGAATTTATGAGTAATAAAATGGTGAGGGATGGCATTGCTGCCTAATCAATAGGAGAAAAAAAAGAAAATAATCAAACAGCTACTTCAGTCGTTCGGTGGAATACGATTTAATTCAAATATATATATGTATGTGCACTTACCGTTAAACGTGCAGGTGTTAGCCCATTACTGCCCAGCTCTGCAATTTTTGGCGTTGTAGCAGCAATAGCTGGCGCTACAGTCGGCACAGTCGCCGAATCGCCGCTCATAATAGCATTTTGTCCTACTAAAGTATTCGGACGTCCTTCGATGCGATTCAAACAGGAGAAGAAAACGCAAACGATGAAGAGGAATATTAGTTTACGATTTGTTAATAACTTTAAGTGCCGAGAAGGCTTTGACGACGTTGTTGCATCTTTATCACTGCCGTGCAACGAATGCGACTCAGCGGTTTTCTTTTCTTGCTCTTTTCTTAACCTTTCCTCTTCCGCGCGTTTCCGTGCCGCAGCGAAGCGTGGATCATCATGTTTAATGGTGACTGCATCACAAAAGGCAATAAATGCCAACCACAAGTTGAGGAGTTGCGCACGCGCCAAGCAGAAAACGTCACTTTGTGCGCGTGCGTCTGTATTAGCATCCAACACTTCTTCACCATTAGCTGATGCAGTTGTTTTTGTAGCTTGAATTTTAGTTTTATTTACTGTACTGCGTTCAATTAAATTACTATCACTACTGTTACTATTACTATTTTGGCTTAAATTTATAGTTGCGAGTTTTGGACTAAAATCACTATTTACTACCCTATTACATTTACTGTTATTTTCATTATTACCAATAACAGTTTTTGCATAGTCCTTATTAACAGCAGCACTTGCAAAAGTTTCTTTGCAATCGTTCGTATCACTAGCATTATCATTTTTATTATTATTAAAAATATTTGTATTATGAATATTTTTCACTATTTCACTAAAAGTAGCACCATTCAAAACCGTTGTCACTTCGTTATCGTTAAAAACATTTCTCCGTACCGTCTCACTATCATTGGCCGATCTGGCACCATCTTCATTATCCGTATAATTATCTACATCAACTGCATCGGAATCACAATTTGAATCTGTACGATCATTATCATCTCTTTCGCCATCACCAACTTCATTATCACTTTCAATCACACCTTCTGTGCTGCCAAGTGCCGTCACACGGGTGGTCATCGTCGTACTTGTCGCCATTGTTGTTGCTGTTGCAGCAGCAGCCGCTGCTCTTTGGCAATTTACGCACGTCAGTTGACGTTCTTGTTGTTGTAGTAGGTGACACCAGCAAGCATTTTGCGCGGAGAGAAATTGTTCACCCACAGCAGTAGTCTCTTTCATTTTATTCGCCATTCGGTACTGTTCGCTGACACTACAACAATCATGTGAGCGTTCAATTAGATCAATTTTCACTTTACTATCTTTCACGTTTAATTCACTCGGTTCATCAGCATCTCGAAAACGGGCAGCAGCTTCATTGGAACTTGTATTGATTAACATAGTAGCGGTTAGGAAGTTTTAGTGGTAGGAAACACTGTTGCGCTGTATGAAATGGAGATGGTTTTGAAATGCGGCGGCCTACGACGTCGGGATATTCGATATATTTAAAATCATGTAGCATTAGATTTTATACATTTTTATGTAGAACCGGCTAATTCTGTTAAACATACATATATCATGTCTTAATTGCTTTACGAATTTACAGAATTACAAGAATTTTTTTTTATGATTTAATCAAGTAGTAAAATTTTAATTGCGGCACATCTCCAAGACTCCAGTTATTATGAACGATTTAAAGCTGTAAAGGAACAGAGGAATAAATTTATTTTAGAAAAAACTTTAAGAGGTTAAAAACAAACAAAAAATATTTCGAGTTATTCATATATTTATATGATATTAAACAAACCAAGGGATAGCAAAGAGGGAGTCAATAATCTCTTTAAGCCAAGTTTGGATAGCTGAATAATAGATAGCAGCGAGCGTACCCATCTATGTATGGCTTCCCCTTAGTTCTGTTTTTCTTAAACTTAAACTGTCCTCATTCCACCCTACTTTGTAGTGTAATTTAGTAGTGTGTCTCAGTATCTACTGGTTTAGAAATTTCGAAATCTTTGGTTTCTGACTTCAGTGCCCAAGCTCCACAAGCACAACAACAGTGAGAAAAACAGCTATAGAGCATAAGTAATGCATTTTGTGTGTTATTCTGAGCATAAGAGAGAGACATTCAATAATGTCTTCAAGGAAATAATCATAAAATGTTGCAAACAGCACAAAATCAACCTACCACCTTCTAAAGAGTTTGAAAGAAAAACCGTTAAGGAAGCAGAAACCGCAAGTTATTGGTCATATTATAATAGGGTGACTGGAATGTGCAGCACATCAGCAGCGCCTACAACGTCAACGTGGCTGGAGTTGATACCATGGCAAAGAACAGGGAAAACACCAACGTATACATTGCTAATTAAAGCATAATCTCATACCACATTATGCAATATAGTTGATGAGATTCCTGAAGGTAAAATCCGTCTGGCGATCGAACGATTACACGAAATACCAACGATACTACAGACTCTGCGCAATGAAGCTATAAGCTGGAATACTGATCAGAGTGAGATGAAATGCCTTAGAGCCTTGCGATGCCACAAAAATCACGAGGTCTCAAAAGAAGTGTACATGCGCTACATGCGTTCAGTATGGGCATAAGAAGTAGTGAAAAATGTGAGAAATATAAGGAGTCAATCATAAATGAGGCATTCAAATACCTTCTTTGCTTATATCCGTACTAATATAGACCTCTCGAACTTTTACGTTCAGAGCAAAAAAGTTGCAAAACTCGATGACAAAGTCAAAGATGAATACTTTATTTCGAATTAACCACGAGGTGTTTATGTAAAACGAAGCAGTCAGGCAGCATAACCTAACTTTTACTTTTTATTAGTATACTTTCGAAACTATGATATTCTGACACCCAGACTTCTTGACATCTCATGACATCATCGGCGGCCAAATATTGCGAACAGATAAAGGCAGAGAAGTCGACATCGATCCTACAAAAAAGTGAAAGACTTTACAACTTAGCTTCCGCCGTTTTCCGATAGGTGGCTGTACCGGTTGAGGCTGGTTGAAATACATAGCTGATAATGCCTTTAAAGTGAGTGTGGATAGTGCCTAACGAATTGTCATCGCTGTTTCAATGACAGTTGTTCTTGTTTACGTATTATTCACGCTCGAAAATGTCCGTTTATGTGCCTAATTCTCGCCATTTGCGGGAAGTTTTACTTTTCTGTTACAATTCGAAAAAAAATTCAGCTGAAGCGCATCGAATGCTCTCAGAAACTTACGGTAATGCTGCTCTGAGTGAAAGAACGTGTCGGGAGGGGTTTCAACGTTTTAAAAATGGTGATTTCGATGTCGAAGACAAACATGGTGGTGGAAGAGAAAAAACCTTCAAACATGAACAACTATAAGCATTGCTTGATGAAGATTCGTGCCAAACCCAAGAAAAGCTTGCCGAATCGTTGGGAGTGAGTCAGCAAGCCATTTCGAAACGTCTCAAGGCCCTGGGCCTGATTCAGAAAGAAGGAAACTGGGTGCCGTACGAGTTGAAACCGAGGGACATCGAGCAAAAGTGGTCAAAAAGTACCTGGAAACGCCGTATTCCCCAGATGTCGCCCCGTCTAACTTCCGATGGCACACGGCCTGGCAGTTCAACATTTTCAATCCCTCGAAGAATTGGTAAAATGGATTGATTCATGGATAGCGTTAAAAGAGGTCTCCTTTTTCGAGCCGGGATCCGAAAATTGCCGGAAAGATGGAAGAAAGTTGTCGTTATTTTGAATAATATATCTGTAAGCACTTTTTAATAAAGCTTTTAATTTTGGAAAAAAAACGGCGGAAGCAAAGTTGTACACCTGATATATAAATCCATGCCCGATAATATTGAAAATCTACTTAATCCGCGATTACTGTTAAATTTCACCAAAACTATTCTTGTATAATTCTATAAGTATGTATAATGACTCAATTGAAATCACAAATTTCCTTACATTTTATCGAAGCGAAGATTCAAATAGGAAAAAGTACATTAGTTTCACAGTTTGACACTTGCGATTGCTGTCAACACCACTTAAAAAATTAATAAACGCGCGTAAATGCAATTGAATTAGAAAACAATGAGCCCATATACAATTACACACACGCAAAATCGAAAATAATGAAAATAAAAATCTCAACTACAGACAATATAAAATCACCAACTGACCTGTCGCAATAACCACTTTAAACTGGTTAAAATCATTTTCGACAACTGGTATTTAACGTTTTGTTCGTACACGAAAATTCATAACGCCAGACGAAATTTTCACACCATTTTGGCAATTAACAAACATGATACACATACATACATATTATATATACACAGGCATATAGGAACGATAGGTTAATTGATGTTTATGTGAGATTAAATGCAACAATGTGTGAACAGAAGCATTAATGACGTTAAACACGTCGATGAAGTCAAAATCTGGACCCAATTAATCGCTTCGTTTATTGCAAGAGAGTGCCGATTTATTTGCTGGTTGCTTTTTGAATTTTGTTTTTTTTATTTTTGTACTTTATTCTATTTTTTTTTTTTTTAAGAAAATTTTGAAATTAAAATTGTGCTAATTGGCCACTAACCAGTTATCTTCTCGATAACTTTCTTTCTACATATAATTATATATGTATGTACTGCAAAATCCAAAAAAAAAGGAACATTTTTGGCTAATTTTCAAAACAAATAGTCATGCTTCATTTATGTTAGTATACATAATTTGTACTACAAAAGCCAAACAAATTTTTTTCATTTTCTGAATTCAAAAACCATTATCATACAATTAGTTAATGTTATTTGATAAAATATAGAAGTGGAGGTTTGTGCAAGTTGCTGATCAAGAACTTACTTTTAGAGGGTGGGGATTGTTTATAATATTTAAAAAAAAAAATGTGCATATTTAATATAAATCTTCAATTGATTCCAAGACACAAGGATATCAAGAGTAACTGTGAGATAGATGAATTAGCTAAATTTGGCACTACTTTCTATATACACGGTGTGTCCCAAAAAGAACCGAACTTTTTGGATATAAAATAATATACACATTATATTATCTTTGAAAGTTATTATTTATTCAAAATAGGTTCCAACACAACTTTTGGAATGATCAACCAGCGCATGCATAGATTTTTTTATGCCATTTATAGAATAGTTCTTCAGCACCTCGGTTACGGCTGCTTGAATGGCTGGGATATCATCATAAAATGCTCCCCTCATATTGGTTTTTAGTTTTGGAAATAAAAAATAGTCACATGGTGATAGATCAGGCGAATACGGAGGATAGTCGATGAGAGAAATCCCTTTTTTCATTAAAAATTCGAGCGATTTTTTTGGTCGTCATTTAATTTATGTGGAACAAATCTTCAGTTAAAATTCTCCAAATAGTATATTTTCTCTTATTTAGTTCCTCAGCCAACATTCTCGTAGTAAAATTTGCATCGATAACAATGATTTCATGGGCTTTTTCCCCCAGTTCAACACGATTACTGGTTTCTGGACGTCCTGCTCTAGGGTCGTCATTTAAATCCTCACTACCATTTTTAAATCGTGTAAACCACATATAAACTTGCGTACGACTCATACAATCATCACAATAAACTTTTTTCATAAATTTTTTTTCAAGTTTGACATAAAATTTTATATTTGCTCTTTGTTCCATTTTATTTTTGAACCATTAGCACACTTTTTGTTTTATCGAAATGGCTGTCACTTTTACATCTGTCATCCGACTTACATGAAGTTAGGTGCGTTTGAAAGAGGATGAATGTATCTGATGTTGCAAATTTTCATTAGATGGCGCTGTATGTTGTATGATTTAAATATAAAGTTCGGTTATTTTTGGGACACACGTGGATCCAGAGAAAGAGGCTATATATATATATATCGACTTGTTCAATAAGCAAGCAGACATGATAAAGATTCAAATTTAATAGAAACAACTCTAATAGGAGTGCTGGCGGTACACTGTCTTATTGGTTGGCTCACCGGTAAATTAGAAGTGACTTGTATGTCACAAATATTACAGAAGTTGTCAGGAGGTCGAAGAAGAAGAAATGTGCTGACATCTTACATGCTGGTGCAAAGCATTGTACAAGAAAAATTTCGAAATTAATGGTGTCGGATTTCTTGACCATATCTCGGATGTTGTTCATACCCTTATTTCCCCAATCAGATTTACAAATATTAAAAACATGCGACGCCAAAAGGCCTTGTCACGTTCAGAGTCGCACCAGCAGCTTGGAATCCGATCTCTTTACTGACAGTAAAAACTTTGTAAATTTAGCAACTCCCGTTTTGTGCATAGTTTTTGCGATTCTGCAGCACTTAGCTCGTTCCCAATATCTATTCGTCTGACGAAGCATAATTGCTTTTTTTTTTTGTTTACAACCCTGAATGGATCTGCTCTAAAAGATAACTCTCCCAAGCCAGTTAATCGATCTATCTCATTAACTTCAATACGCGTGTGACCTGATAACCAATAAATGTAAATTCTTCTATTTTCAGACAGTATTGAGTATCCACATTAATGAGTTTTCTCTTCCTTTAAAAGCCAGAATCCTGCACCGATTTGGAAAGCTCTACAATAGTTTGAGTGTCTTATCTCTATTCCAGCGCAGTAAACTGAAGTTTCCACGATTTTTTTTTCATTTTATATCGATCTGACAAAATATGCTTTTTACAAAATAGGCTTTTGCCCATCTTTT